AAAAAAACACCCGCAATTTTAAAGGTTATCAACTGACACAATAAATATGTGTCCAAATCAAGACTGTTTGGGTTGCCTCTAGGGAGAATCTGCTCGCTTTGATGTCCGAGCCCCTATATTAAGCCTGTGTGTGGCGACAACATTTGTTTGCCGCACTTTCCTCTGTAATACGTTCGAATGTGTGTTGCCATTGAAGCAGGTGGGGTATAAGAAGGGAAGTCAATCGAGATGTTGCGCAAGTCTCCCTAACCGCAAATTACACGTCAGCCACCACTGCGTTTCTGCGAAAACGGTGGTCCTCATCGATTGCGATGGATGAACTGTCGGTTTCACCTGTTTTTAATGTTAGTAGTGAAATATGCAGGTGCATCTAATTTACTGTTCTTACTCTTTCTCTTTTATTTTTCAGGGTATTCAAAATGAAATTCAGCCAGGAAACCACGCAGTTCTATGCTCAGTACATTCGACTGGTTTCTCCTTCAAAATGAGCGTGAGTTTGCATTTTCCTGTACTCTGTTACTAAAAGAATCTCTTCCTTACGTATGCCGTCTAGTCCCTTTAGTTCCATTGCCGCCCAACTCTATTCTTTAAAAACCGCCACTTAATCTTTAAACCTTAACACTTATAATAACTCAAATCTTAAAATGTAAAACCTTAACCCTTACTCGGACCTTAATATTTCACCCTATTTTTCACCTCATGCTAATATTACGGTTAGACCAGCAGTCACGTTAGCTGTAGAAGCGGATTTACTGTGAGACTTAGAGACTGGGCCAGCTTTCGCGGTAGCATGACTCTTAAACATCCGGTAATATTGATTTCGCAATCTGTTACCGGACGAAACCTACCTACCTAAGTAAAGTTAGTTGTTTACGTACACCGACTTCTTCCATTACCCATCACAGGAGCCCATAGCCTACGGTATCGAACGAAGCCGGCTGCTGGTAACTTTGGCTAGGTTCGAGAATGACCTGCAGTGTGATAACATGGTCGATACATTTAGAACCAGCCCAAAATCCGCTTAGCTGAGTTTCGCTCTTGGTGGCGGTGGCGGCGATGACAACTTTTGCAGTCATGCCGACAAGACAACTACCGCAGTAATTCGCACATTCAGTTTTAGTCACTCTCCTGACGATGGGCCCAATGATGACCAGACGCAGCGAATGGTCTTATCTATGCACGCCTTTTTCAATTCTCTTCATGGAACCGGGGTGTTAATTTCAACATCATACTTATAGACGCTGCTATTGCTGCCAGCGTCTCCAGGTGTCTTGTTTCGTTTGCATCGCTAGTCGTCTTCCGGGAATTATGGTTAGAGGGCAACATGTGGATTGAGTGTTGTTGGGTGGTCTGCTAGTCAGGCGAATAGGTGAAAACCTACTACATTTAGTTTCTTTCTTGAAATAGCAACGGTACAGTATGCGGACCACAATTCCCAAAACAAGAAATAAGGGCGCCTGTAACACGGGCGTAGTGATGGGGTGGATGCAAAAGAAGCGGTGGACAGCATACTTCGCGGAAAAGAAATCGCATTCACGCCATTAACTTGTTTAAGTACGTGAACAGCTAGGGAAAAATCAAATGCGTTGTTTTTTATAAAGGTGGAAAAAACTCAATTGCCTGGTTAGTCTCATCGCAGGCAGCAGACAAATTGAAACCAATCTAATTACAATCAAAACGCACAAAAAGTTAAAAATGTACATAAGTTTAAAAAAAAGAAAATCGGGACATATGAAAAAGCGACGCGAAAAAGTGAAAACTAACGAAATATAAGGGGACAATCATTCCCAAAAGTAGTAAGTGCAAACAAGTAGTGAGCATAAAAACCATGATATGTGCCTTTGTGAGCTATTCGTAACACTTGACCCCAACTCTAGTCTTAAAATCCGATGCCTAATCTTACAATCTTAAGACTAGCTCAAATCATAACACCGTAAAGTAAGCTCTACTCCTAGTCAAAACACCTTAACAATAATCTAACCCCGACCCAACCACTTTCATACGATAGCATCACCGTTGAAGTGTTTCGGTATGTAACTATTTCCTGAATTCCCTTAGGATGTTGGCGAGGTTGCCCATCCACTCCACGCTGGAGTAATGGGTGCGAAGCTTTCCCGTGCGTCGGCATATCAACATCCTATACTCCCACTCCTAGCACGCTACCTCACGTGTAAGGAAACGGAAATCCAGAAACTGAGATTATCTCTGTCTGCATAATAGATGTTAATTTTATTTACTCCCTTGGATTTTTGAGTATCTTGTTAACTTATTCCTTGGTTTTAGGCAGTGGGGACATTTCCGCTTAACATTTTAGATGTCGCCTTCAAAATAAAGTGTATTTTTATATCTCCTTCTGAAGAAGGACAGAAGCAAAGTTTATTATCTTTTTTTTCACTGTCAGTTCTTCTACGATGAAAAGGACTACACATGTTCACACAGTGTCTCTCAAGATACACGGGAATTATCAATGATCACCTTCGAGACGCGTGATGGCTATGACGTCGTCGCGTTGGTAAGACCCACCACATTTTTTCCCT